AAAAAAGGAAACACACACACAAAAGATTTAAACCCACAGTATATTTAAACTCTGTATCCTCAAAACCAAATCACTTTGATCAGTCTTTATACATCCACATTAATGTAACACAATACAGCAGGACAGAAATGTCAAACAATACAATAAAACAACAGTTTCTTAAAAAAAACAGTCCAAACTAGCTGACCAGACACTGAAAGAGCTCCCAGAATGGATGCAAGTTTGGTCTTGTTACCTGAATCACAGGGAGAATGTGGTCAAGGTAAACCAATACAAAGCTTTCTTGGAAAAAAATCTCAAGAGAAAAATCACTTTATCAAAAAGGGGTAAAATATCAAAAGAAACAGGTTATAAAAATAGTTAGTCAGCCCCCCAAATCCAAGTATGAACGGGGAGTGAGCAACCTGTCTGAGATGATGATGAACGGATCATGTCTCATTATTGCTCTTGCGATTCATGATGCTTTCAAATTCATGATGTTGTTGCAAGAACCAACCTGAGCACCTTATACACCACAGAAAGAAAAGAGATCGCTTGATTCTTCTTTTTTGTCAATAACACAAATGATTGCTTCATGCAAGACATCAGACCTCCCTTTTATCTCTCACCCCCAAAACACCTACTTATCTCCCAGCTCGGGGTGAGTCATGGGCCTCTATAATTAGACACGTTAAATATTTTATGAGAGACTGAGAAAAATAGACAGGTTTTTTCCAAGCTTGTCAGACACTGAAAATACCTGCGTCTGAGGTTAAAAATACATTAAGCGTGTTGCATTCTTTAACGTGTGAAAATGAGTACAAAGAGTGTGAAAGTGCAGTGTGAAACTACTTTTATAACATGAATCTCTAACAAATCAGGATTTAAACAACATGTCAATTAAATCCTTCAAATTTGGCTGTAACATGAACAAGTAGAGGTGAATCTAAAGTAATGAATGTAACGGGACTGCATTTTTAGCCACTAAAGTATCTGGAGAAGACCTGATCAAATCTCAGCTCGAGATCTGCATCTCTTTCCCTGTAGACATTGATATGCGTGAATTAATTACTGACTTTTCAAAAAAAAAA